TGTTGTTGTTACTTCAACTTTTTTTTACTCTTGAGATAGTAAAACTTGTGTCAGGATTATGAAAGTAACACGAGAACACAAATGTATGTACCTGACAGAACTCAGATTTCTTGAGATTGTCAAACCAGAGGAGGTGTATCTGATGCAAATCCTGTATCCAAGCCTCAAACTGTGACTCTGTGGAGCAGGGAATTCAATAAGAATCCAGGTAATTTTTGTTTGTTTTTAATTATTAAACCTGATTACAGAAACTGGAGATAAAGAAGCGGTAGCAGCAACAGGAGTAATGTGAAGGGACCCTGAGTAAGGAAAGTTAGAGAAGCCTTTTGCTATTGTCTGGTCTAAGCTGAATACCCAGAAATGGACGAGAATGCCCAAGGAGATTCTGTTATGTGGGGTACAGGGAAATTATGAAGTATGACCTTACGATCAGGGCAATATGGCCTGAGCAGACCAAATGATACTTCTTCGGTGAAGAGAGGACAAGAAAACCTCTTAACTGATGTGGAGGTCTGCGTAAGGGACAATTTGAGTTTAGAACTGAGAAAGAAAAGGCAGTGAAAAGAAATGGAGCAGTGATATAGGAGCAAACCAGTTACCTGGTAAGTGAAACCTACATAATCTCTAATTGAGTCTAATTTTATTAAACAGAACAGAAATCATGATAATCTAACAAATGAGTGGCACCAACCTACTGGCAAGAGGAATACTACTGGTTAAAGCTGATAATAAACCAAGAACAACAAAAATGTTATTTTCCAACTATGTCCAGAACAGGATAAAAGAGATAATGCTTGAAAACAGGTGATTGATAATGCAGAAAAAAAAAAAATCACTGAATTAAAGATAAAATGAACACACTAAAGGAAAATTTAGGTTTAAGATGGATATAGAGTTAGCTCTCTAAAACTTAAAACTTCTCCAGGCCTAGAAAAACTATACTTTATCAAGTAAAACTTCCAAGTATGAATTGCACCAAGAATTAGCAAGTCTATTTAGTAGTAATTCTGGGCCGTTTATGTCAAATTTTTGTTTAGACGGCTAAAAATATTTGGTCATTCATTTTCACAAATCTTGCAATATCCATAGCCCTCTCGACTCCAGAGAACGCAGAAGTATTTCCCAAACCTTCATGTAATAGCTGCTGAACAGCGAAACATTACTGGTAATTGAGATTGGGATGTCTGAGATCATTTGTTTCTAGACACTATATGTCAGTAACAATTATTTTGTTATTCTTTCTTTTTAAAGCACCACACTGTAGTAGCAAAGAAATTAAGAAGCACCGAACAGAATACACAATGATTAATTTTTCCAAAGTCTATCTTAAGCTAAGAATCAGTTAACGTAAATATAGCAAATAAGAATGGTGTATTAAGAATAGCTTTCCATGGGGTGCCAGCGCGGCTCAGTTGGTTGAGCATCTGACTTCGGCTCAGGTCATGATCTGACGGCTTGTGAGTTTGAGCCCCATATCGGGCTCTGTGCTGACAGCTCAGAGCCTGGAGTCTGCTTTGGATTCTGTGTCCCTCTCTCTCTCTGCCCCTCCCTCGCTCATGCTCTCTCTCTCTCTCAAGAATAAATAAAACATTAAAAAAAAATTTAAAAAAAAAAAGTTTTCCAGTAAGTGAAATTGAGTCAGAGAAAGACAAATACCATTATTTCACGCATATGTGAAATTTAAGGAATAAAACAAGCAAAGGGGGTAAAAAAAGAGACAAATCAAGAAACAGACTTATAGAGAACAAGTGAAGATTACCAATGGTGGGTGGGAGGATGGGTTAAATAAATGATGGAAATTAAGTACTGCACTTGTGATCAGCACTGGGTGATATATGGAGTTGTTCAATCACATACATATACAATATAGTGCATACCTGAAACTAATATAACACTGTATGTTAACTGGAATTGAAAACTTAAAAAGCAAAAAAAAAAAAAAAAAAAAAAAAAAAAAAAAGCTTTCCACTGAAAACTCAGTGGTGCTTCAATTACCCTCAATTACCCTCCAAAACTACACTGGTTGAATAAGGAAAAATTAAGCCCATGAGCATCCAGTTAGTTAGGCTTCTTATTTACCATTTTCCTAGTAAAAAAAATCTTAGAAATTCTGTGGCTTTTTTTTTTATAAAGCTTCAGGACAATGCTTATGGTGACAACTTGATAACTTTAATGATTTCCCAACCTTTCATTAGCCTAGACACACAGAACTTTATTGTTATTTTTTGGTGAAAACAAGAAATACAGCAGAGTGACAGACTTTTATTTTTCCTTTGAGCACACAGAAGAAGACTAATAAAGTACTTAACGATCCTTGTTTACTTTGACAGAGCAATTCTACAAATACTTACACTGGTTAGGAACATAAAATTCAAGTACAACATTACTATTAGGGCAAGAAATATCAAGACAAAAGAACTGGTTTTCTTTTTGAAATTACTTCCACAAGACACAGCAACAATTTGCAAAATTTCAAGGATCACATTCAAATTATATTTCTAAGAATAGAGCTATATATGAAGACAGACCAGAACAAGCTGATATATTAACGAATATTCACAGGTTTCATACTGCACAGGAAACAAGTTTGATATTTTTGCACATATTCTCAATTATAAGCAAAAAGCAGGCCTGTAAATGTCAATTTCGCCAGCAAGCAAAAATAGAGAAAGGAATTAATAGGATTTTACTCAAACACAGTGAAATAATGAGCATATACCATTAATCTTCTATACAGAAAAGATCACTCCTATAATAACAGAGAGAAAACAACCAGACTTGCATTTTTGCATTTTAGACAAAAACCTACTGGTGAATTCAAGGGAGTTAGGGAAAACTCCTCTAAGTATCCTTTTTAAACATCAACCACTTTGATTCTCCCACCTCTCCTAGGAAAAGCTTCAGGGGCCTCCCCCTCCATTCCCAAAGCTGCAGGGTTCATCCTTCCTGTGCCGTTCCAAGACTACTTGGTTCATTTTGGTTTCTGGGCTCTCACTTCCCTCAGCCTAGAGCACCCTCCCCACTGCTGTACCCAGACCTCCCAAGCACTCATGGAACTTAGGGCAAGGCCTTCAAACAGGAGAAAGCAGGTAGTCCTTACCATTACCATATACCACCCAAGTAACACAGCCCTGATACACTGCTGTCCCACCTACTGGAACCTGTCCTGGAAATCCAAACAAACTCCACATATCCCCAGGAAGGAAGTTTGACATCTCCCACAATGTACACTGCAGCCTGCTCCCTCATCTGTTGGGAGAGAAGCAGGGAAGGAAATAGGGAAACTGAAGCCTGAAAGCCAAGAAGGCCAGACAACAGGATGGAGGCCCCTGGGCCATGAGAGCAGTAATAAAATAGTACAGAGAATAGAGGTGACCTCAAAATGCTGCCTTGGGGTTCTTTCTAAGTGGTCAAGGCCACCCCCGCCAAAATTTCCATGTTTAGAAAAATGGAGTGAAACTAAGTTTGGCCGCTTTACATCACAACCTTCTCTGCATCTGCCTTGAATCCATCACTGTGAGGCCCTTCTGTCTTTCCTCCCTGCTTCTCTAACTAAACTCAAGAAACACACGGATTTTGGTAAGTGGACAGGGAAAAGGTGGGGTTGTCAAAATTGGCCCAAAAGAACACTGCTCATAACTAAATAACCTACAGGTCTCCCTTTGAAACTTTTAGACCTTACTAAAGGAAGTAGGGTGGAGGCTTGAGGGCAGAAGAGCACAAGAAGACATGTGGAGTCTATTGTACAGTACCTTTCTCTCTTTGGACACCATCAAGGGTAGAGAAAATTAAACACAAAGCCCGCTTTGCCAGTTTGGTTTCCTGTCTGCTTCAGAGGAGAGGGAAGTGGGGGAGAGAACAAGGGGGTGGGGGTGGAGGAAAGAGACAAAAAGATGCAGAACAGGCCACACAGACCAGGAACACCTTTCCCTTGGTGCCCCCACCCTGGCAACTTTATCATGCTCAGAATGAGTGCAGGAGTTAGAGAAGGGGATACCTAACAAAACTATCTGATTAAGGGTGGTTTGTTGACTCCAGCTCAGAAAGGCTAACTGCTGGAAGTGAACCCCTTCCGGCCTTGCTTTGGGCACTATCACATATGACTGTGCAACCTGCCCCACAGCCAACTGGGTTTATAGGTAACCATTTGATGGCACAAGGTTATTGAGGCGGAGTTCCCTGTGTGCTGCCTGGGAGCTTAAGTCCACAGTCAGTTGCTGAGGAGGCAGGCAATGGTGCCTATGCAAAGCTCATCCAGAGGGTGACAGCAGGTTTGTGTGGGCCATAGCACCGACCCTCATACTCACCAGTACCTGGTCACAAAGCAGAGTGAAAAGAAGATGCAATAACACTGAAAACCTCTCATCTGTTACCTCACTCATGCCTTGTAGCCACCCACTAGCCCCCTTATTCTGCCAGATAACCAGCAGGGTGGATAGCACAGGCCCAGGGAGGCAGCTGGGAACCAGTTAGTGGTAGCTAGAAATGTCCAGTTTGCGTTGATGGTTGGCATCATCTAGAGTAGTTTCATCTTGCAGCGGTGAAACTCAAAGAACTTGCCATAGAATACATGGTTATCAGGAGGACAGTCAGCATAAAGTATGAAGTCCAGCTAGTTATTTGCAAAGGTATTGCAAGCTTCTTTGTGGTAGAGAACCACTTAAAAAACTAGAACTAGACCATGGTCATAGACAGGACCCAAGGCATGCAAAGGAAGGCAGTGCCTATCTACAGCATCATGTGCTTGGCATAGAAGCAGTGCAACGCCATGCACTTGAACATGTAACAGGATACAGAAGAGCATGAAGGTCCAGAGGAAGAGGAACACAAACATGTAAGAGTCAATCTTGCAAATGACTGTTGAAGATTTAGGAGAACCAAAGGACAAAATAGTTCAGTGTGAAGAGAAAGCAGATAGAAGACTGCATGCTGTTGGCTAAGCAATGGTTCAAGGGGAGGTGGTGGGAGACTTGTGCAGGAGCTTCTCACAAGGGCAGCGCTTAGCCAGACTGGAACCTGAAGGACCTGGGGCTCTCCACGGGCTGCCTTGCTGGGTCTCGAATTCCTCGGCGAGGCCCTTCGCCCATCAGGTAGTACTGTAGGGGATTGGGCCACAGTTCTGCTTTGATAATCTCAGCAATCCTGTCGAATTCTAGAAGGCTGTGATCTGAGAACCAGTTGAAGAAACTGGGGATAGTGTTTCCTTCCCGATTCCTGTGGATATGTGACTGGGGGTCTTGGCCCCTGTGCCAGCGGATTGGAGTGGAAAGAGACACCACCCGGCCAGAGGATCTGCGCTCATATTCTTTGACGAGCCCCTCATTTCGGAAATAGGGGTTGCTCTGAAAGATGAACTTGAATTTGCAGCCTGCTCTGGGGTGTTTAAGCTCCTCCACCTCCAAATTGATCATGTACCTCATCATGTCTTCATCTTGGCCACTGATCATAGGGGACAGCTGGGGGTGGTTCCGAAAGGCAGTGACCCAGAAACCTGGGATATTTTGGATAATGAAACTTCTGCGCTGCATATGGAGCCTTCGCATCCGGCCAAACTTGCGCTCCAGCTGAAGGAAGGCCCTGTCAGCCTGGGCATTTACATTTGACAGCTCCTGATCGATGGCCTCCAGGGAATCCATGCAGTTATTGATCTTCGGGGCCTTGGCCCGTGACTCCTCTTTCACTCCTCCTACCACCTTCTTTTCCTTCTGCATCACCTTCTTTTCCTCCACCACCTCCTCCGCTACTCCCTCCTTTTCCGTTGCCGCTGAAACGGCGCACTTTTTTGTCGTCATTTCCTTGGCCTTCGCCCCAGGCATCATCTGAGACCCCAACCCCCCTGCGCCACAGGCTTCTAGAGCTTTCTCCCCAGCAGGGCCCCGCGGCTCTCTACGCTGACAGCCATTTTCCTGGCTATTGTCGGTTGCTACCGCGGGGGAGGCTGAAGCAGAGGCTGCTGCCAAGCCTTCCGTCGGAGGCGGACCCTCTTTCTGGCCCGATTTGGTCGCTACACGGCTGCGGCTCCCAAAAACTCGAACGCGGAACACAGGGGCACAGCTCGCGGGGCTCTCGGGGGCGCCTGCCTCGGCGGGGGTCTCCAAGTTGCCCTCCTCACCTGTGTCCGCCATCACCTGGGTCGCCTCGGTTTCCTCGCCCTGGCACTGGTTTAGGTCCGGATGTCCTGGGGCATCGTCGGCAGTAGCTACGCCGCAGTCTTTAGCGACAGGAGGGTTGCTGCCCTCATCCAGGGTGCTCATTTTGGTGGAAGTCCGATCCGCAGGAGCAGAGCGTCCCTTGTCCTCTGCAGAAGCCGCGCTCCGCCCCAAACCGCTTGTCGCACCACCCCTCTTTTCCACTCTGGAGGATGCTGCTATGGCAACTGGTGACGTCACGGCGGCAGCATCTTCACGTCGCGCGAGAATTCGCTGCACCTAATGATTACGTCAGTCAAGGGTATGCTTTTTGTCTTTGTGTTATAAAATGGATGAATTTCGTCTTTCTGGAAAAGATTTGATTTACGTGATTGGGTGCAGACCAAACTCGAACATGTGAGAACTGTGTCAATGTGCATTTCTAAGGCTCTGTATCTATTTCTAAGGCACCTATGCTATTAATTTTTCTCTTAAAATATTTACTTAAAAGGTAAGAAAGGTTATGGTCCAAGTTCATCAGCTCAGAGGGCCGTTCGTGGATGGTAAGGAGGAGTCAGCAATTCACCTGCGTGCCTTTTTTATGAGACTGAGGGCTACCTACTGCGCTAACGAGGCGCCTGCCTGCCTTTTTTAATGTACAGATTCGTGACTATTATCAAAGAATTGAGATGAGCAGAGTTTGATTTTTAAGAAAAGTGTTGCTCTGTTAAGCGATGGTTTAAAAAATTAGGAGCAATTGTAAGGGAAGTTTCTCTCATCCTAACAAGACATAATGATTATTTCAATTTGTTTATGTACTTTGGCCAATACCTATGAAGTGATTGGACAATATTTCCTCATCCCTTTTAACTAATATAAATAGCAAATGTATTTTCCTTACTTAGAAGTGACATATGCGTGAGCATGCAAATTTAGCCGTTAAGCATTTCTGAAAAAGATGTGATCTCAGGAGATTTTAATTTCCACAGTTGTACATAATATATGTTGCTTATCCTTAGGCTGTAATCCTAATCTAAAAGGAGTTCCTGCTTTATAATGCATGTGGGCATGAAGCCAGCAAATACTTGCCAAAATATGCCCCTGTTATAATTTACTGCAGGGCAGAAGCAATAATCAACTGTTTGCAGGCACTGAAACTATTACTTGTCCAAATTAAAATATTTTAAGTAACATTTAAAATGTTAAAGTATTTACTTAAAATTTGTCTATTCAAGTCAGCTCATACAATTCATCTGCTAGTGATGTCGATACTGTGCTATGTGTTGTTTTGTTTGTTGGAGTATGAAAACACTGCTGTTAGTCCTTAGAAAAATGCAAGAGTGAAGGAAAACTTAAATTTTGCATATTTTTGTTTAACATCTTAAATTCATATTAGAAAAATGATTATAATTCTTTTTTTTAATTTTTTTTAACGTTTGTTTATTTTTGAGACAGAGAGAGACAGAGCGTGAACAGGGGAGGGGCAGAGAGAGAGGGAAACACAGAATCTGAAACAGGCTCCAGGCTCCCAGCTGTCAGCACAGATCCCGACACGGGGCTCGAACTCACAGACCGTGAGATCATGACCTGAGCCGAAGTCGGACGCTTAACCGACCGAGCCACCCAGGAGCCCCTGATTATAATTCTTTGTAATAGAAACTCCACTACAGAGCCTCCAGATTATGATCACTTTGAAATTAGGACTCAGAAGAGGATCCAGGGAAAAGGAAGCATGTGGGGAATTGGATTTAGAAACAAGCAGCAGCAGGTAGGAGACTGGAGGGAAGTAGTGCAGACCCAGTACAACTAAGAATGAGGTGTTGATGGAAAAGACACTGACATTAAAGGGAAACAGCTTGCCCTGCAGCTTCATAGTTTAGCTCACAAAGGTTTGCAAGAGAATTCGTAAACAATTAAGATATTTTTGTACCCCTAGTCAGCCTACTCAAGGACAGACTGTCCAAATTGCTGCCAACTAATCAGATATCCCACAAAAATTGTGCAAACAAGATTCACTCTTCTCAGACTACAATGATTTTTCTCTCCTTTTTTTTCCTCTTTTAATAAATCCTATTTTGCCTCTGTGGGGTGAAATCAATTAGTAAGCAATGTGCTATCATTAAGTGACTTTGTGACTTTGAGTCACTCTTTGACACTATTCTGCCTTGTTTCCTTTCTTAAAGAGTCTTTGTACTGTGGGAGGATTAATTCTCTAGGATTATAACCTGAGCCAAGAAGCAGAGAAGAGCAAATGCTGAATCAAAGTTCCTTTGCCATAGAAGAAAGAATTTGCTATTTGCAACAGAAAATTATAAAATTACCTGAGGCTGCTACCTGTGAACTTTTTTCTCTTGTTGTATATACCAAATTTTTAGAAAGATTTTTACCTCCACTACTTGAAACGTCCCTGTCCATAGCTTTGATTGTTCTTGTCATTGCAATCATTTTCCACTAATAATAGCCTGCCCATTCTTGAAACTCCATTCAAGCCTATCTCAGGAAGATTGCATTAGGCATTTTAACGCATTTAATTTCATAAACAAGGACACAGGAATCACAGAAAGTTAACTCACTCGTGGTAAGACATATATTAATTGGCAAATTGCCTCCTCCTATCTCCTACACATAACCTTCCCTTATCATTCTGATAGTCCTATAGCTCTATGACCTTTGCCACCCAATTTAGTACTTACCTTCTATCTTTGACTCTCTTGGTTGCTTTATGCAGATCAGTCTCCTCATCCCAGCTGGACAAGGATGGCTGTATAGTGGCTTCATCCTTGGCATCTACAGTGACTGACTATCTCATTGACCATTTTAATAAAATGTGATGATTTGATTTAAATGTAAATTTTAAAAGGTTTTACCAAAATGAATAATATGACTCTGCTAGCATTTCATTTTGAGTTGAGTAGATGTATGTATTATAAATAGGAATCATTTGATTTGCGTATTAGAATATAGGATTTTTTGGTACACAACAGAGCCTGTCCTAATGGCAATTGGCAATAAACCTCACTACAGAGAAAAAGATATATCAGTAACACGATTGTATGAAAAAGCATTTGCAGAAAATGTCGTGAAAAACTAGAAGGTACATTTGCCACAGGACACGGACTTTAACAGAAGTTCAAAAATAAACTAATATAGTCAAACAGGAATGACTTTACTAAAGTATATAGTAAACACTGGAAAACTTAGGAAACATCCACTGTTATTGCTCTTGAACAGCAAGTTTTTTTTTCTTTTTTCAGAGTGACATGGTTTCTGATTATATATTCATTTTGGCCTACATTTATTTAGTGTCTTCTAAATGTGCTATCTCTTTTAATCCTCAGAACAACCCTGTGAGGTAATAATATTATGACCTCCATCTTACATTACCTCAGAAGGAACTCAAGCAAAGAGAAACTGAGTTGCTTATCCAAGGTCATACAGCAGCAATATAGAGCCACAAGCTGAAACCAGGTAATCTGACTCAAGAACCGTGCACTCATTCATTGTATCGTCCTGCAGTTCTACACAATGTATAAAATGTAAAGGTACTTTCTTAGAAATAAGACCATATGACCATCTCAATTTAATGTTAAATCGTATCTTCCTATTCCCCTCTGCCCATCCAGAAAAATACTAACAATTGTTGGGGAAGCACCCAGTTACTAAAAGGAGAAACAGGAATTCACGATTCAGTGCCCTACGTCTGCAGTTCTCCATCCATCAAATGTAACATTCCCTTTGTTCATTTGTTTTTTTTTTTATTGGTATTGTGTAGACCTAGTCTTACTAGAGGAGGGCAAAAGACATGGGCTGGAGTTCCAGCTCTGCCTTAACGAGCAATGGAAATTTGGGCAAGTGGTTTGACTTTTTAAAATCTCATTTCCACATTTTGCAAATGGGATAAATAAGGGGCACCTGGCTGGCTCAGCCAGAGGAGCATGCAACTCTTGATCTGGGGGTAGTGAGCTCAAGCCTCACATTGGTTGTAGAGCCTACTTTGAAAAAAATGGGAATAATAAGATCACCCAACCTATCTTTATTCACTTTTCAGAGTAGTGGGTCAGCACTCTACATAGGTGAACCTTCCTTATAAGTTGCTTTCTTTCCTCCACCCTCACCCCCATCTCCGTGTCTTTTTTTCCTTCTTTTCTTATTTCATGGAAAAATTAAAAATAAAAAAAATAATTATTTCATGGACCATTACAGCCAAAAGATACTTGATTTTCAAACAATTTCCCCTAAATGACCCTTAATGTATGGAAGGAGTTATGTCTCTCTGACTGAATGGGTCACCTCTCCTGGGCTCCAAAGCCGAGTTGAGTTGAGCAGCAACAGAGGCATTCTATGGAAATGTTTCTCTTCCTCAGACAGGACGAAGGCATCTTTAGCAGACAGACTCCATGTGTCCAGAGCCAGGTAGACTTGCCAATTCCAACAGAAAGCCGTCCTACTTTTTGGGAAAACAATGGCTGAAGAACAACTAACTTTACATTCAAAGAAGATACCGAGCTAATTGAATTTCTTGCAGGTAAGAGTCAAGGTTGCATTAGGCATTTTAATACATTTAACTTCATAAACAAGGACACAGGAATCACAGAGAGTTAACTCACTCATGGTAAGACATATATTAATTGGCAAATTGCCTCTGGCTTTGGCACCATCTCAGTGTGGAGATTAATGTGGTGGCCATGAAGATGCACCTTACAGCCCTCCAAATACAGGAAGAATAACGTCCAAGGGCCTGAATGCTGTACCCTGAAATCTGTAGCCTGCTTTGCTTGCATTCAGGCCATACCTCCTGTGAGCTGCTCCAGCCAAGACTGAGTGTGGCTAGAATACATAAGGTAAAACCATTCCTAAAAACTGCGGGACTCAGCTGACCACTGACCCGGGCTGACTCAAGGACTCCTCAATGGCCTCGTGAATCTTCCCTGGATGGCACAGGAGTCTAGGCCACTTCACCCAACTTTCTCTTGCTCTTCTTTTCACTCAGTCAGACTTGCTTCCTGGTCAAAAGTTTCTTCCATCTTTTTTCTGGGCCCCTCCCCATTTCACTCACAGTCATTTCCCCTAGTAATAACTTTGCACATTTAATCCCAGCTTGACTTCTGCTCTTCAGAGGACCCAGA